CCCCAAAACCCCAAAACCCCAAAACCCCAAAACCCCAAAACCCCTAAGTAAATTATAAAGTTTGAAAAAGCTATATAATTATTAAATATGCAGAAAACTTCTAAAGAAAAGAAATTGGTTATCAAAAAGGCCCACAAAATCATCCTGAAAAGCAAGAAGAGGAAGAACTACCAGCTTGGGAAATTCGGCCCGTTCAAAACTAGTAGTAAGAGATCCAGAAGTATTTCGAAAAGGATCCACAAGATTAAAGTAATGAAATAAGATACCTATTACGATTATTCCGTCTGGGTAAGTCTGCTCTTGAAGGTGCCAAATTTTAACAATTGTATGGGCTATTTTATGCCGAAGAATGTTCCAATGGTTCAACACATTTTACCTTAAAATATTAGCTACAAGATTTTGAATCGTGAAACTCTTAGGTGTTAATTCTTTATTATGAAATATTCATTGAGAAGGGTTTTCTATAATATGTTAGATTTCTGAAATATCTGTCCCATTTTACATGAGTTCTTTGGCTAAATTAATCCTCTCCTGGAGCTATAGCCTTATTAGCAATGGCTTATAAAATATTTATGTGGAAAACTAAGAATGTTTTGGATAGTTTTTATGACCAAACCAGCTTTACTTAAAATTCAGTCAATTGTGTTTATCAGATCATCGTATAGGGATGGAGCCCAGTTATTAGACAAGCTCAGCATCATTGAATCTATCTACTGCGGTAAGTGTTTCCCTCATGATATCCTATAGATGTACAAGAATGTGTGAAAAGAGAAGGAAATGATTCAGAATCAGCTATGAATATATTTGATTATTATGTGGCCAAGCTTAATGAGCTCATGAAGCAAATGAATTCTCTCACTGATCAACAGAGAGTATCTCAGCTGAAAGACCAATTAGGGTAAGATTTACTAGTATCAGCTGATCAACTTCCACAAAATTTCTTAACTGGTTTTAAAAGCTAGATGGCTTACTCTCCAATCTGATCCAATATCTGCAATCTTTATTCACTAATTTAATTTATCTGGGTTCATGTTTGATTTGATTTTTCTGGAGCATTGATAGAAATCTTAGTCTCAAGTTTAAAGTTTTGCCCAACGAATAGCATATTTTGGATCATTTTCTGATAATAATAGAAACGACTCATGTAAAGAATTTGTTGGGAGACTAGAGAGCTGACTTAGTAAGATCATTGCAAGGATCGCAGCCAAAGGATATAAAGAGCAGTCCAAGGTCAACTTTGCTCTACTTTATTCCAATATTGCTCAATGATACCTCCTGATGGGAAAGTACGAGATCTGCATGGAGAATCTGAACCTGGCTCTTCAGCACCAAAGAGTAATCCAGACTTATAATTATAGGATATCTTGAATGATCTTGAGAGACTCCTTACCATTAAAAGTTCTAAAATTTCCCAAGGTAATTTCTTCTAAACGCTGCTAATAAGTTTAAAAATAATGAATAACTCTAAGCATATTTTTATGTTTAGACACTGGACAAAAAAACTCTATCCTACCGAATCACAGCTTCATGAAAAATGACAACTTGGATCAATATTTAGGAGGCACAGCTAATCAGAGCACTAATGAACTTCTTACTGCTGCTCACTACGACGATGAGGTAAGTTTCCTGTATAATCAAGTAGTATTACACACTTGTGAAAATACACTGGATGCAGGCACATTTATTTGAAATAAAAAGGGACTATCTAGGGTCCATAAATATCATCAACATAATAATGAAAGGTACCCTACCCTATGACTTCTAGAAATCGATGTGAAATATGGAAAGAACAATCCTATTTATGATGAATGTAGCAAGAAGAAGGGAGCAGCTATTCTTAAGCTTAGCCATAGTACAAATAAACAGTCTGGATACAGTGACCTTTCTACAAATTCCCGATCAAGTATGAACAACACTTCTATTAAGAAAAGATTGGTGTCTCCATCTGGGTCTTCATCTCGGAAGAAGTTAAGAAGATATCCAACTGATACGACTTATAACAGCTCAAGAAGGAAGACCAAGAAGATGGAAGATTTTGATAAGCTTAATAAGGAAGCTACTAGGCTGATTGAGAGATCTATCTGAAAATAATCTGAATAAACACAGGTGAGTTTGCTATTCAAAGCCTATATTACTTATTTCTCTAATTTAGCTCGTTAACCATAGCATTAACCTATTTTGGATTATGAAATGTGCCAAAGTATTAGTCTAAATTTCAATAATAGAACTGAGATTACTCCTCAAAGAGAGATTCCAGTGAGTAAGAGACTAGATCTTTCAAATTCAAAAGTGAGAAAGCTCAAGCTTAAGAAAAGTGTATGGGCGTCAAAGCTCAGCAACAGTAATGTCCAGTATAGTCTCCAGCCTCAAAGGGGCAAAAATAGGACTAGATCAAACAAAAGATCTGCGAAGTTAACTCGAGGACCTTCTCTAAGAATGAGTGGAACTGATAAAACTAGTTGGTAAGATACCATTTAGAATTGATATCGCTGTAAAATTCAAAAGTACTTTTTATGTTTGCATAATGATACTTTGAGTATTTCGATTTATCTAACTTTCTGAAAATATTTAATTATCAAACTTTGACTTCTAGATCATGTATTATTATTTATGATGACCAATTTCAATGATACTAGTCACCTCGAAATTCTCAATAATTAAGTATTAATTTAGGATACCAAACTGCTACAATAGCCTAAGTTTACAAATTCCATTAGACAATAACAAGAATCCCAAGACAGATTCTGTAGGAGGGACTGATAAGTCAGTAGTTTCCTTCAACGACAAGGCTATCACACTAGGTCATACTCCTCAAGTTCCTTCATTTCACAAGTACTCTAACGACTCAGTTGGACTCTTATTCAGTAAATCCAAAAAGACATAACTAATTTTCAATCAGGAGTTGCCCAACTGGGGTTTTGGGGTTTTGGGGTTTTGGGGTTTTGGGG